AGATGTAAATTCTCAATAGTGACCTATTTTCCCGAGGAAAGATAAAATCATTAGAGGGGGTAAATGGAGAGATGGCTTAGTGTAGGAGCACTTGCTGCTCTTACAGAGGACCCAGGTTCGGGTCCAGTTCACAGCATTCACATGGCAATTTACAGCAGTCTGTAACTAGTTCCTAGAGGATCTGACAACCTTTTCTGGTCTCTGAGGACACTAGGCACACATGTGGTACATAGATATACATACAGGCCAAACATCCATACACATGAAATAAAATCAATTAAAATATTTAAGTATTGATTGCAGAGGGTAGCAGTAAATGTATATTTCAAAGTTAAAAAAATTTTCCTAGACAAAGATATTCACCGTAGCATCATTCAAAATATCCTAAAATGGAAAGAACTTATATATACACATATGTACTGGTGAATTAATGCTCAATTTGTTATATTCACACAATGAAATGATATTCATGCATAAAAAGGAATTAAATACTCAGGCTAGGCATGGTGTGGCATGCCTTTAATCCCAACACTCAGGAGGCAGAGGCAAGCAGAGGCAGGTGGATCTGTGTAGCACTGAGTTCTAATAGATCTTAGGAATAAAAGCCCAGAGTCAGAAATAGTGGGCAATTCTGAAAGATCAGAGAGACAAAGGAACAAACCATAGCACTACCCTACTTCACTAACTTCCCAGATTAAAACATACTGAACTCCTGTCTCCTCTCCCCTTATCACTTCCTCTCTCTGCCCAACCATATCACTTCCTATCTGTCTGTACAGACCTCCAGACCTCTATGGTTAACCAGTGGCTAGTTCTGCCCTCTGATCTGCAGGCAAGTTTGTTTGTTAGAATACAATCAAGATATCACTACAGACCTCTGTGAGTTGGAGGCCAGCCTGGTCTACAGAGTGAGTTCTAGGATATCCAAGGCTACTCAGAGAAACTGTCTTGAAAAAGAAAAGAAACAAACAAAAAAGACAATAGTTGGTAAAGTGAATGAAACCAATCACAAAAGGCTCCATATTATGTAGCTCTAATCAGAACTAGTGGTTAGAGCTGATGAAGTTTGGGGGATGAAATGTTCTGAAATTAGAGACTGTGATGATTGGATAATACCTTATAAATATACTATATACAACAGGATTGTAGACTTTAAAATGGACCAATTTCAGGGCTAGGGTTCAGTGGTGCTGTTTGCCTTGTGTGCCTAAGGCCCTGGATTTAATCCCTAGAACTGCAAAGCAATTTTTTAAAAAATTAAAAGGATGGATTTTTATAGTTTGTGTATTCTATGTCAATAAAAACCCTCACCAGGTAAAATCCAACCGAGTCCAGTATCTGGCAGTATAATTGTGTCTGCTGCGTGCTCTTGTAGCATTACCCAAAGTGACTACGATAGTCAAGAAATGTACAAAACAGCCTTGGGACATAAGGAACAACTGAAGCTTTTCTCTATTGTACTAAAAAATATGCTTCCCCCGCTATGGAGGCTCCTCAACAAATTAAAAATAGAACTATCATATGACTAAGCTATATCACTCCTGGGCATATAATCAAAGGATTCTGTTCTGCAACAGAAATACTTGCATATCCATGTTTATTGCTGCATTATTCCCAATTGCAAGGGAATAGAAATGGCCAAGTAGCCCATCAATAGAAGAAAGGCTAATGAAAATGTGGCGTATGTATACAATGAGATTTTATACAGCCATAAAGAAAACAAGATTATGAAATTTGCAGGAAAATGGATAGATCTGGAAGGTATTAAGTGAGATGACCCAGACTCACAAAGTCAAAAATCCCATATTCTCTCTCATTGGCAGGTGTTAATTTTATTTTCTTTCTTGACTATCGCATACTTATGTACTATGTATTGTGATTGTACTCACCCCATTACCCTCTGCTATGCCCCTTCTCTTCTCTATGAAACCCTTCTTCTCCCCTAATTCCCCTCTTGGTGACTGCATTAGAGGAAGTGGCATCCTCTCCTCCAGCAACCATTAACAGTTAATTAATAGAGCTTCTTAGGCACCTTGCGTACTTTGGTGGAAAACTTTCAATGTTTCTATCTATGTAAATAAGGGGGTATGAGAGAGGGCATAGATTAGTAAACTAGATGGAGGCCATGCAAGGGGAAGAAGTGATGGGGAGAGGGAGAAGGACAAAAGGAACATGTGACATGGCAGTGGAAATGTTATTGGGAGGGAGGGCACAGGAGACAGTGAAGGGTAGGGAAACGGGGGGAGCATGAATCCCAATTCTCTATGTGCTAATAAAATAAAATAAAATAAACCCAATTTCCTGAAACGTTTTGGTGGCTTATTAGAACACATTTAGTATAATTGGAATCTTCATTTACTGTGTTTGTCAGGCAGCAGTTAACTATTTACATGTTTGACCTGCTTTAAACAGTAAGAAAAGTGAGCCTGCTTGGCTGTTCTGCTTTGTGTTGTGAGCGTTTTGTTTGTCTGTTGTTTTGAGACAGGGCCGCCCACTATAGCCGTGTCTGCTTTGGAACTTGCAATGCAGACCAGGATGGCCTGGAGCTTTGTGATGATCGTCCTGCTTATGTCTCCTCAGTGCTGGGATTAAATGTCTGAAACAGCCACACTCACCTAATAGTTGCAAACTGCGTTTGATGTTAAATCTAGACATGTCTCCATAGTTGGTTCCTTGTGGTTAGCAGACGTGGATTTGTGTGAACTGCAGATGCTGTCTCATTGTTTGCCCCATTTTAGTCTTTTTTTCTTAATCCACGTAGAGCGCATTCCTGACATTTAAATCATTTTCTTGGGCTTACCCAATATCAACATCTGTTGGCACTATGGATTATGCATTTTCACACATTTTATTATACAAATGCGCAAAAATTGAACCAAGTGTCTCTTCTATCTCTTCACATAAAATGGTGAACACTTTTTATCTCTTTAAAGTCCTGCTTTACCTATCTAATGACTAAATGATACTTCCTTTTAATATATAAAGTATAGTTTGTAGCATGCCTTCTTTTGAAAGACATAAGTTGCAATCCACTTTCTTCCCATGTTTTCTGCCTTTGGAATACAAATGTAAACATTAAAAAACAAAACTATGAATATAGTAAGAGAAAATACTTAATGCATTTATGACACCAGGTTAGGAAGAGCTTCTAACTCCTGACAAGAAGTTCAGAAGCCATAATGAATATGAAAACCAAATTTAATGGGAGAAAAAATTAAAAATTGTTGCTGGTATTGTAAACAAAGTTAAAACGTGTATTAATAAATTGGATTAAATAGTTACAACAGATGACAGGGACAATAGTGTTACTGTATAACAAGCTCATGGAAAAATAGTTTTTAAATTCAAACTTCAATGGGAAAGTGAATAAAGAATAGGGTTACTTTACAGGAAATGAAGTGCAAGTAGCCCATAAACTTATGCAAGCTGTTCAGCTGCACTCATTAAATAAATACAAAATAAAATAATGATGTGGAAACTTTGACTTTGTCTTTCGCCTTGAAAAAATTAAAAACAATTAATGGTGCCTTGTTTAGACTTAAATGTGGGAAGAGAGATTCAGACACTGTCACCACAACAAATTTGATACAGAAACTTCAAAGAAGAATTTTGGAGCCACCTGTGAATCTTGTAAGCTTCAGAGACTTCCTGATATTTACTACTTTATTTTCTGAGCCTTCATGAGCCTCCCTCCAGAAGGAAATGTTTAAATTCTCAGTTAATAGCTATATAACATTTCCAAGGCTTTAAGCTAAATGGGTAAGTCAGTCAAGATATTGGAGGCTCCATTTTTCAAGAGTGGGGAAGTTTTGTATTAACATCACTCAGGGAAAATGTAAAGCACTATCTACTAATTCACCTCAGATAAAGACCAAACTGATAGTTCCATCTAGATCTATCGGTGAAGCACTGTGTTCACCGAATTTACTTACAGAGTGTGGATGACCTCCTAAACAGCCACATTGAGTCTCACCCTATCACGGGTGACAGTTTCCCTATAGCTATGTACATGGTGCTTTCCCTTCAGGTGCTATACTCCCTAGCACCTCCTGAGACCATAAGACCATGAGCAACTTGAGCAGAATTACATATATCTGGGAGGGAGGTATAGGAACACGTGACTGGAATCTCAGCTGAGAGTCTAGTAACTCTCCTCCCATTCTTCTATAAGGCCTGGCCTATAGAATGTCAATAGGCCTGATATTGAGGGTTGCTTGTGGACACAGCAGCTACTCTGATTAATATGGCAGTGTCTCTTATAGTTCAAGGATAAATCTCCCAGAATTGGGAATAATGAGGATGTGGTTTCAAAATGGATGCTCTAGCCTTTTAAAGACTCAGTTTGTTTTTAAATAGGAAACTTTAAAAGACTCAAAAGGTAAGCTGGGTGGTGGTGCCTTTAATCACCAGCACTCGGGAGGCAGAGGCAGGCGGATCTCTGTGAATTCAAGACCAGCCTGGTCTCCAAGAGTTAGTTCCAGGACAGGTTCCAAAGCTTCACAGAGAATCCCTGTCTCGAAAAACAAACAAACAAACAAACAAACAAAGACTCAAAGGGTTTAAAACCAGGGTGGCTCACAGAGATTCATCTGCTTCTGCCTCCAGAGTGTTTGGGATTAAAAGCATGCACCACCGTTGCCCTGTTAGGTTTATCTTTTTGTATAGAGACTGGAGTGTCTTGAGACAGGGTCTTTCATGTAGCTCAGACTGCCCTCAAACTCACTATGTAGCCTAGATTGATCCTTCTCTATTTCCTAAATGCTGGGGTTTTAGGCATATGTAATATATAGTATACGTATTATATATAATATATAATCACATACAGCTTAGTACACAGTAGGCATGATCAACTGAGCCAGGGTTGGTTGGTTTCCTATCTCTCTCTCTCTCTCTCTCTCTCTCTCTCTCATATATATATATATATATATATATATATATATATATATATATCTTCTTTCACTGAAAGTATGTTCACCCTCTCTGTCTTCTCTACCCTGGGATCAGCTCTCCTGCCTTGGTCCCTCACCCCTGAAAATGCATGCCTGCTCCAAGTTCATCTCCACCTGCTCCCTGATCAGGAGCACCTCTCAGCTGCTGAGTCGTCCCCTGTCTGCAGTGGAGTTGAATCGACCACAGATGTGGACAGATGGGGGCCTCAGCAGCTTGGCAGCCCCTCGTCCTCTGGCCTCACTCATCCCTAGCCCCGGCTTCCAAACCAGCGTCATTTCCAGGGACATCGACACAGCCGCCAAGTTCATTGGGACTGGGTCTGCCACAGTTGGGGTGGCTGGCTCTGAGGCTGGGATTGGGACTGTTTTTGGGATCTCCATCATTGGTTATACCAGGGACCCTTCTCTGAAGCAACAGCTCTTCTCCTATGCGAGTCTGGGCTTTGCCCTCTCAGAGGCCATGGGGCTTTTTTGCCTGATGGTGGCCTTTCTCATCCTCTTCGCCATGTGAAGCAGCTGTCTCCACTTCAACCTCCCATAGTTCTTTCGTGTCCCGTCTGCCCTGCATGTTCCTTTTCCTGTACCTCCACAGGAAGTCTGGGGAAAGTGCTTGGCTCAGGGTTTAACAGAGAGAAGACAAATAAATACTGTATTAATAAGAAAAGAAAAAAGAAAGAAAGCAGATTCTTCTCTCACACAATACATCCCAACCACAGCTTCCCTTCTCTCCACTCCTCCCAGCTTTCCCTCACTTCCCTCTTCTCCAGATCTACTCCCCCTCCATTTCCCTTCAGGAAAGAGCAGGCTTCCAAGAAATAATAGCAAAATATGACAAAACAAGATTCAACAAGACAAGGCAAAAGCCCTCTTATCGAGGCTGGAGAAAATAACCCAATAGGAGGAATAGGAGGAAAACAGTCCCAAGAGCAGACAAGAGTCTGAGACACACCTGCTCCTGCTGTTAGGAGTCCCACAAAACACCAAGCTAACAGCCGTAACATGTACACAAAAGACCTCCTGCAGGCCCATGCAAGTCCCGTGCTTATCACTTCAGTCTCTGTGAGCCCATGTGAGCCCAGCATAGTTATTCAGTGGGCCATGTTCTCCTGGTGTCCTCCATCCCTTCTGACTCCGGCTCTTTCCTCGCCCTCTTCCATGGGGTTCCCCAATCTCTGAGGGGAGGGACCTGATAGAGACCTCCAATTTAGACTCCTTCTCTGCACCCACTCCCATCTGATGCCCGAGGAAGCCTCTCTGATAACTGGACAAGTCACTGATCTATGAGTACTGCAGAATATCATTAGGAATTATTTCATTGACTTTTTTGCCAGTCATGTTTGGTTTTACCCTAGGTCTAGATCTCTGGCTGTCCAGTCTCCCACACCTGGCCACCCAGGCAGTGTAGAGTATGGACTCTCAAGACCTGGGCCTCAAGTTAAACCAACATTGGTTGGCCACTCCCACAAGTTCTGTGCCACCATTGCCCCAGGTCGAGGGTTTTGTGGCTGGGTTGCTATCTAGGTTTCTCTTCCCATAGCCTTCAGAGGGAGTATCTTCTTATACCCAAGAGACTAGATTATAGAGGTGAAGTCTCCATGCAGGCACCGGCTCAACCTCTCTATGTTCACTGAGCTGGACGGATGCTGTCGTCGGCAATGGGGCTTCCGCTGTCAGTTTTCAGAGCGTGATCCTCTCTCTATCCTAGCATCAGCCTAGGTAGTTTAGGTTCATGGGACCCCTCAACCACAAATCAGCCAAACGCAAGCCAGTCTCCACTGGTAGCCTTCCCTGGCTACAAAATAGTGCCAGTTCAGACTGCGTATCCTCCATTCCTAGGAGTCCTCCTTAGATCACCTTCAAAGATTCCAGAAAGTTTCCACTGCTCTAGATTTCCACACACCCCCACAACCTCCAATTCCAACTGTGTCTCCCTATACTCTTCCTCTCAACTCCATCTGACCCTCCCACTCCTATCCTCACCTGCCCATAGTCCACCCACAAAATCTATTCTATTTCCCCTCCCGGGGGAGGTCCATGTGTCTCCCCTAGAGCCCTCCTCTTTACCTGAGCTCTCTGAGTCTACCGATTATAGCTTGATTATCATTTACTTAACCACTAATATGTACTTATAAGTGAACACATACCATATTCGTCTTTCTGGGTCTGGGTTACCTCATTCAGGATGATTTTTTCTAGTTGCATCTAGTGTGGTCTGCAAATTTCCTGATGTCATTGTTTTTAACAACTGAGTAATACTCTTGTGTACATGTACCACATTTTCTTTATCCGTTTTTTGGTTGTGGGACATCTAGGGCCAGAGTTTCTATACTCTGGCTTTTGCCTGATTCCTGGATTTAATCTCCCATCTAGTCTTTGACTCATCTTGATTTCAAGGTATATTAAGTGTGCAGAAGTCTATTAAACACACTAAGTTAGCTTCTCTACAAGCAGAGTTCTTGTTAGGGATTTGGATTTGTATAATTTGCCACAGAAGAACCTACAGGAAGAATGGGGTAAAGGTGGCAGAATAGGGCAGGGGTGAGAGCTGAGCAAGAATGTAGGTTTCAGCCTGAATGTCCAAAGCAGATTAACACCACAAAGCAAAGGGGCCATTCCAGGCAGTCATTGCCTTCATGTTGGGTGGGAGGATATGGCAGGCTGCTGATGTAGTAATGCTTAGTGATCTCCAACCAAGGCAGTTAGTTACCAGTCCTCCAAGCAATTTTCTAGAGAAGGGAATTCAGGCCACACTCCCAGCAGCTGTGGGAGGATGGGCACACTGGTTAAGAAAGGAAAGGGCACAGTTTCAAAGCCTCAGACTTTGATTCCTCATCCTATTTCTTTATCTTGGCAGATATTTATCTCTTTGATCTGTTCCTAATTCTTCTTTGTCTCAGGCCAAGTTCAGGTACCATTTCTTTCAGAGGCTTTGCCCAAAAATGGTCAACTAAGCTGGACCTTTATATACCCTCCCTCAGTATCTATGTCTGCGCCCCTCCCAACATTTACTGTTGGATAAAGAAAATGATCTGCTGAGCCTTCTCCAGTGGAGTAGTAGCTCACTAAGACAGGAATCACGTCCTGTTTGTCTTTTTACCCCAAGCATGTAGCAGATGCCAGGGAATGCAGTCCTAAACAAATATCTGATGAACTGAACACCAAGTACGTGACTTCCTGTGCCAAGACCGCATCTATTTCCAAGTGACAGGAGAGAAAACACAAAGACTCTGCGTTTGAGACAGAGTAAGTGACTTGTGACAAACTGTCTTCTTAGTCAGAATTCTGCTCTTGTTACATTTCAAGTATACTTTAACATGTATTTTAACATAACCGGGGGTCAGAACTGTTGATTTTTAGAGGCAGCCATAAGGAAGAGAAAAGAATGATAAAATGAAGGAAAGCCTTTGCTCTCTGATTAGTGGAAATGGTTTGGTGTAAGAGTTGGTTAAGAACTTTTCACACCAGTAATTTTTTTCCCCAGAAGTTAACGAAAAAAGCAATGCTTTGCCAGCACCATGGGCTAAATAGCAGTGTTCAGAGGTTGGGCCTTTGGAAGGTGATCACATCATGAATGAATGAATTCATCTATGAATTCATAGCTTAGCCTTAGGGGAAGGACTTGGCTATAGCACCCTTGCCCCCACTTCCTGACCATCATGAAATGAGCTGTTCCTTTGCTGTATCCTACACCACCGTGTACTGCCTCCACAGGCTTAAAACCAAGTGAACCACAGACTGACACTTCTGCAACCATTAACCAAATCAATGTTTCCTCCTTTACGTGGATTTCTTTCATGTAGTTTGTCACCACAATGCAAAGCTGCTGTATGTCTTTTTTATGGGGAGACGTGAACAAACATATCTGTCATTGGTACCCCTAGCATGGTACCAACGACAGGCCAGAGAAACAACTCCATCCAAATCTAACATAGCAAACCAGTGAATGTACTAGGGTTCCTTACAAGAGTATGGACACAAAGGCAGCTGCATCACCAAAAAAGCCCACCCCAGTGTGAGTGACATTCTTGGAGCTCTCTGCATGACTTGCATACAACTCAGCTGCTCAGACATCAGCTGCTCAGAAATCAGAGGAGAGAAGACGGTTCCTCTCCCAGCAAGCACTGGTACTTGTAAAAGTTTGTGAATCTCAGAAATGTGTGGTACCCAAGTCACACCAGCCTCTTTTCAGTCTTAAAACTCCTGCTAGGAGGAAATATTTCATGCTGAGTTTATTTGCTACCCATCACAGGACACTCAAAGGGTGCAGCTTTCCTGGGTTGTTAGCCATGCTGAGGTGGCCTTTTGGCTTCTCTTGTTTTTTTTTAAGTGACTCTTCATTCATACTTCTGTAAGTAACCCGATAAACCCATTGGTTCACTAAGGCTCGGGTGGGCTCATTTCTCTGGTCTGTCATCAGAACCTTATCTGGGGTGAGTAGACTTTTGCTCATATCTCCCCAGGAAACGTCATACAACAGAGGCTGACTAAAGCAGGGTGGAGGGGTGACAGAAAGGCGATGAATTTGAAAAATATCTAAAAGGCAAACATGTGGCAGGATTTGATAGCCTTCTGCACGTGGGCAAAGAAAGAGCTGAGAGGAAGTTCTGAGTTTCTAGAAGCAGAAAAGACTGAGGCTGTCTGTGATAGGCCTCCCTGTCAAGGTACTTAGACTATTATCAGGTGCACCTTGGTGCCATCATCCACAGAGTAGGACTCTTTTGCCTCCTGTGTTCCTGCCACTACAGACCACAGCGGGCATGCTAGACGAAGACTGTCACAGTGAGTAGGAAGAAGCAAGACGGAGATTTCCAGGGTTTTGCCCAGAAGCTCCTCCACCATACTTGTGACAGGAAGTTACCCAAGTGGCAGAACCCGCTGGGAAGCTTGCGTCGGGACTGCACTGGGCCAAGTTTCATCAGCAGCTATCTTTATTTTTAGCCTATGCCACATCTTAGAGCAATCAGGTCTATAAATGTCCATACGGCTTGCTATGCCTGGGCCCCAGGCACAAGGGAGCAGCTAAAAAAGGATTATGCTAGGCCTTGTCATGGGCTCTTAAATGCCTTTGATCAGCAAATGCCTGGCTCTTACTTCAAATTTCTGGGTTTCCCAACGCCCTCACCAGCCCTCTTCCCATTGAATTTCAGAAAAGAGGGTCCTAGGAACACAAGTAGATGGACAGGTGTCTATCGGTGAGTTACAACAATGCTAGGTCCCACAGTGCCCCACAGCTCCAGGTGGCCTGCTACCCTGGCTTTACTGGACTCCTCTGTTGGGCTTCTTTGGATGTGTCTTGACTCCCTCAGCTATTTGTCCTATTGCTATTACTAAAGAGAAGGGATGCTTGTGTTCTGAGAGGCAGCTAGCTAGTCAGCTTAGGGTCCTCAAGTCTCACCTTTACCTAAGAGGAAGACTAGCTCTTATCTCACAGGAGTATGGAACCGAACTAAAATACACAGAGGACAAGTGCTTTGTCTTGTTTATGCTTAGGGAATGAAGCACTTACCATCA